TCAATATTAAAAAAGAAAAGAGTTATTTATAAAGGCACTTAGACACTATTAAAATAATAAAGTATTACAGTATTATACCATAGTTGTATATATATATACACTGTACATACACAATAACCAAGTAAAAATATTGTGCTGCTTAAGAACCCAACTTCTACAATTCAATACTACAAGAATCAATATAGGCATCCTTTTCTGCTCTCTGTACTGGGTTTGTAGTAGCAGAGAAAGTGTTTCAGATTTCATGGACAGCCTCTATGGCTCTACCTAAACATTTACAAGAGACACTGATGGGCTTTCAGGAAATAATATATAAGAAAAATAAGTCTTTCTGACTATACACAACCCAATTCCTGGTTGCACTCAGAACATTCTGTGCGAGTCTCTAGTTACCCCTGACAACTATACACTTCAAACTTTTAATATACATCTTCATTTTAGCACACATTAACTTGAATAAATGTTAAATCCAACAGATTTATAATGAGCACAGTGTTTTTAACTTTTGGTATTTTTGCTCTTCACAAGTTACACAAGATGTAAACAAAGTACAGTAAAAAAACATAATTCCAACTGAAAAAGTACTCGGGGATTAAATTCATTATTCACCCAGGCAGCCTTGATTCATATACCACTGCACATAAAAACATTTTGTGGGGATGGAACACAGCATTGAAACACACAAGTAATTTTTCAAGTAATTTTCACAAGTAATTAATTATGTGATACTAGAAATAACTTAATACCCCAAAATCATTATAGGCATGTGTTTTTAAATAGAAATTTAAAAACTACTAACGTTCAATAGTAATTTATCCAAGTTTGAGTCACTGGCAACCTTTTTTTGGTCCTCAGGCATCTCATCCACCTCCCCATAGAGGTCAAAGTGTAGACGAGCCAATTTCTCCTGCATCTCTCGCACGTGCTCCATCTGATCAATAGAACACTCATTACCTGGAGGGGAGAGAGGTAGGAGACTGGATGTTAACTCCAAGGGTGCTCAACTATCTAGTTTTTTCCAACCAGTGCAAACCTTCAATATAATT